GTCTGGATTTGAACAAAATTGAGGGCAAAACAAAAGGAATGAATTAGTTTGGAGAACGCTACTAAAGCTTGGAATGTGAACTCTGTGCAGTATGAACTGCACTGAAATGGTTGGCTTCAGAATCAACCTTAAATTCTTTGGGAAGTAAGCCACATAAGTCTGATACAAACCACAAATACATTTGACTTTTGCCCAAATAGAGTCTTTATCCTTTCTAATTTGTTGCTGGATGTCATACTTACCCATTTTGTTTTGGAAATAAATATTCTGACTTTGAAAATGTTGGCTGCTTTGAAAGTGCAGCTTGGTTTTTAAAGCAATGAGATTTCCATTTTTTTTTTCAAAAAGAAATTTACAGTTTGTGGCTGGTTTTTGTTATACATTGGACTGTCTGAAATGAAGAGGAGTCTGAGAGTTCCTCAGCACAATGTGTAGATTCAGTGTATTCCTTAGAAGTGAATACAACTTCATGATACTACTGTGAGTTTCAACAACAGCAAATTGCCATCTGAACTCTGTAGACATTAAAAAAAAAAAAAAAACCCACAAAAATAAAACCAAACCAAAAACCACAACAAAAGCAAGTTAATAAGTTGCACCATAATCAGAAGGAATAAGAGACAGAGCTGAAAATTGAACCTGGTTATCCTGGGTTCTGCTCCCTGATCTGAGTTTCCTGTCAAAATCTGTGTTTCATGTAACAGGATAATAGAGAAAAATATTGGGTTCCAAATTAGAAAAGGTAGTATATTTCCAATTAAATTTCTGGATAGTTTGCTAGGGAAAAAAAAAATCTCTAATCTATGAGCTATATTTTTTCATTGTAAAGTTTCATAGACAATTGGAAAATGTTTTCTAACTAGACACATTGTATACAAAGAGGAATCAAAGTGGAAGTAAAATTAACAAGGGACCTTTTAGTAGGGAACTGTGACCAAAGGAAAACATAGAACTGAAAATTGGAATCTCAGATGTATAGTGTTTCTTTCCAGTAAGATTTTACTTTTGATCTTTTTGTTCAGAGTCTTTGGACATATTAGCTACCGTTCAGACTGGGAACTAGTGAAGGTGGACTTCAGACCATCCTTCCCCAGGGAGTGCACTGATGATGACTATGAATCTTGGGAGCTCACAAATCTACAGGTATTCATGGTGTTAACTGCCACAACTTTTCCATAGCTTTCAGATTCATGTAGAATTGTGTGCTAGGAAAATGTTTTCAAACAGAATTTGGATACTACATTCCCTGCTTTGATCTCCTTACATTGGTATTTGCTGATTTTACAATAGTTTAAATGGGGAGGGTTTTGTGTTCCCTTTGGTTGTGTGATCTGTGCGCTGGGAAAGGCGGAAGTATATCTGGTGGTCTGCCGTAATAATAGGTGGTCCTGCTGGATTGTGAAGCATATACCATAAACTAAAGTGTGTAATATTGATTGAAGCAATTTCAACATGCAGACATATGTTCTGCCAACTTCCTGACCACATACTGTACTCATATATAAATTGCTGTAAGTAAAGTCCATTCCAGACGTAGTTTAGGGTCTCAGTGGACCGATCATGTAATGGAGTCCAGTTGTTTTGGGCAATACCATTTCTGCAGTAATGCATTAAGGCTGTGCGAATCCTGGTGCTCTGGCCAAATCCAGTTTTGGGAAGGTACATGCTCTATACAATGTATTGATTGAAGAGACCAATGTGAGAGGGTTTTTCTACATTAAATGGAATGTGTCATATTTATTCATAATCATTCTGATTATTATGTTTGCGCTTCTTCCAGCACATTTGTTCTCTCGGTCTCTGCAGGGTTGGGGTTTTTTTGCATACTACTCTGTGTTATTCCAGCTCTCCAGCTTTCATTTCTAATGCCTGATTTTACACTTCTGGTTTGGGAATGCTGTATATTTACTAAGAACATTATGCAGATCTGAGCCTCAAGTGTAACAGTATCTTGGGATATTGGCATTGAAATGTCTTTCAGAAATTAGAAACTACTCAAATGACTCTGACAGAGTACTTGCAGCTACCCAATTACCAGTGGACTGTAACTGAATGAAGATAGTCTTCATTCTACCTGTGTCCACATGCCTGGTGCTTCCTGTTGACTGCTGAAACGAGACCTGGTGATTTAGATAGAACTTCAACCATCTGCATCCACACTGAATTTTTAAATGGCCAGTTGTAGGGTTGTGCCTAGATTGTGCACACATGAAACATGGGTTAAATTGCACTTGAATTTCCATGCACATTTTTGGATTTGTGCCCCGAAATAATAGCAGACATTATAATGCTGTAATGGCCTGTTAGTGGACAGCAGTAGATATGAGAGCTTTGTATACCTGTACGTTTGAATATAACAGAGTTGAGACTTGATACAAGTTTATAGTCTTGGCAGCAAGACAAACCTTTCTCATGACAACATAAGGTCGCGTCTGTGTGGTGTAGGTTGTGGTGTGCAGTAAGTGCGGTGCTTTGATGTTCAGGGTGATCGTTGCATCATGGGCCAGCAGAGGAGCTTTCGGAAGAGGAAGATTTCATCATGGTGCATTAAAGGGAGAAGTTTCACATCAGCTCTCACATCTAAAGTTTGTGAATGTGTGAACTCCGATTTCTTATGGTGAGTCTGTCTGTGGATGTTTTGATTTATTGCTAGTAAATAGTTACTTAGAGTTTGAGATAGGTTTATTTTCCTCCTTTTGCCCCTCTGCCCACATAGCCATGTATAAACAAATAGCATTTGCCTTTGTTTAAAAACATGGCCATGTTTTAGGTATTGGTTTCACCTGACTGAACAAATCCTGATGTTTTTCTCTATTGATCAAGACTTGAAAAATGACCATTGGATTGATTTATAAGGCAAGCAAATCCTTTCTGTTTGCAAATGAAGGAAAAAAATCAGAAGAAATGTGTTGGTCTGGGTGGCACAGGAAACCTTTTAAAAAATCTAAGCTATCAAGAGAGTTAATTTTGCAGAACTGACAAAGTAATTACAAACAGTTTTTCCCCCAGGTGTACACAACTCCTGTTGAAATTAGACTTAGAACAGAACTGGCTTCATCAACTTGTATGTTCAACTGGTAGAATAATATTTTAAAAAACTTTTTACTCTTAAAAAAGTAGTCTTGTCCACCCCAAATTAGATTGCTGAATGAAGTGGGGGTAGTAACACCCTTGGTGTTGATGTTTTTCAGTGATTATGGGTTTGAGCGCTCTGCACCTCTGAAGTCGCAGTCTAGCAAATGCTTTGCTGACTTTTGGTTTAACCCAGAAGCACCTCCTGAAGACTGCGTGCTGGGGCAGGCATACACCAGCAGCACTGGGTAAGCTGATTTTGTGTTCAACTGGCTTGCAGAGGCTTCCAGAGCAGGGGAGAACATTCCAACCAAGGGCCACAAAAGTGGTTTTAAGGAAATGTAAATAAGGCAAACTGTAAAAAAAATGGAAAATGCAAAAGTTCTGACTCTGACTTAGAGCATGTGCAAGTTTCCTACAGACTAATGAAACATAAAGGTTACTTTACAGTTCACAGCAGTTCAAAAACGAACCCATTTGAGAAAAGGGGGAGCTGTCTTCTTCCCAGTATTTTTATTTTTTATTTTGTAACTGTATTTTGTAACCATTGCTACACTTCTGATAGGAACGTTCATTCAAAGGTTTGGGTTTTTTTTTTGTAGCCCATTTCTTGAGTTCAGATCAATTTTCAGTCTGAATCCAGTGAATTCCTCTGAGCAGCCAGTAACATCTCACAGAACTTCCCAGTCTCTCACTTCCATAGGGGTAAGGAGTTCTGTGGAGAATAGATTCTCTTCCTGACCATATGGGACACTCAGAATCAAAGGAAAGCTTTAGTAACTGTAAACAATACCACATAGAATATACACTACAATGTAGTCTGACGTCTGTGCTGAGAATAACTTGCAGCTGGCATCTGTTCTGGCTTATCATAACATCATCTCTGTTGGTTGTGGAGATGGGAACCAAATGATGAAATGTCAAATCTGGCAATAGCATCAGAGTTTCTGTGTATATTTGCCTTACCAAGGAAAATGATGCTTTTTGCGTTGCGGCTGACAGCTGTGATATACAGAATAGGAATTCAAAAGAGTGAAATCTGACTCTAATTTTAAAGGAAGTTTAAAAATAACATACCTGAGTGAAACTGATGTGTAAATAATTACTGTACACATCCAAGTATTTCATTATTAGTTCTTTAAAAGTGTTAGGCTTTTCACTCTTTTATACTGTTACGTTAAATAAATGCTTTAAGTTTTAAGAAATGCATAGATTTGAGAGCAGCAGATGAGCAATTGGTTCTGGGTTAATGCAGAAGCTGCTTGATCTAATTTCTTCCTGATCTTTGGGATTTGAACCAAGACCTTCAGAGCATTGCAGACCATTGGACGCTAGGAAAGGGTATGGCAGAGAGGACAGCAGACTGTCTAGCTCTTGGAGGGCTGGTCAGGAGTGTTTCTAAATTTGAAAAGGCAGACTCTTCCAATGCATACAACTGAAATCCTCATCATGCTCCGCACCCTCTTTCTTCAACAGGTTTTACTCAGTAAAGGCAACATCCGTCATCAAAGTATTGGCATCATGAGTTGGTTTTGATCATGTGCAATCTTGTCTGTTCATGAACCCAAGGAATATTCATTAGCTACCATCACACTCGCATTCAGTGCCTCTGATGGCATTCACCTGCTCAACTCCGATTCTTTGTGCTCACTGCTTACTGTTTTTGCAGGTACAGGAAAGTTGTTTCTAATGTGTGTGAAGGTGGCGTGGACCTGCAGCAGAACTTAGCACAGCATATGTGCCCCTTGATTGCTCCCAAGGGACTTCAGATCAGCATCAGAGAAGAAAGTCTGGCTGTTAAGCCTGGGGAAGACATCACCTTCATCGTCAGACAAGAGCAGGTAGTAATGAATATTGGCTTTATGAAAGTTTCCTCACTATTTTTATGGTTCCTTTCTCTCCTACCTGCTTTGCTGCTGAATGAAATTAAGTTGTGCTTGAGACGAAGACAAATGACTCTCTAAATATTGAAACTTCTGTTTTCAAGTGAATCAGACAATCCAGTAAGCACAGTGAGCCACCAAGTTCTGTCCACAAAATGGGGTTTGTCTCCTCAGCAGCGTGGTCAGTCATGATTCCTTAAAGTCATCGGCTTTTTTGAAAATCAAAGGAACTAAATTACCAAAGTCTCCTTGGACTGAAAATTTCAACTGCTGTATCAGAGAAGAACTGAAATGCAGAGAACATTTAATATTCTGGTTTAAGAGGTTTTGAGAATCTGTCTTTCAGAAAGGAAAAAGCTTTATAGAAAAGCAAAGCTTTATAGAAATCAGCAAATAGCACAGCACAAGAACATTTATTATATATTAGTTGTGTTGCCAAGGATATGGGTTTTTTTCTGTTTATTGAGAGAGACAATGCCCTAAGGCCCTGACCAACATCAGCAAGTAACTTTTGGATGAATTGTTTGCCGTGGGTATCTTTCTTAATGCTTGCTTTTTAGTATTAGGCTGTAGCTGTTGTGCAGAGGTTACCAGAGTATTGTACTTCCTGGCTAACCCCACTGATCTGCAAGAACTTGAAGGAAGTTTACACATTTTGGCAAACCTGTGCAATATAAATCATGCACTTGGGATTTATTTCTATAAGGGAATTAAGGTGATTAAATGCAGAGCACCGGGCTGCTTAACGCTTCACAGGTTCTGCATCCCAGTGCTTGCAGTGCCCCAACAGTTGTGTGGCAAGTTATGCTGCCTTCTCTTATAATTTGTTTGGAAATGTTATTGTAAGGATAGAGCATTAGGTAGCAATTTAGACTCTAATGATTTTGACTGGCAGTTAGATTTTATTTTTTTTCCTACTCTGTAGATTCTGAAGCTTTAATGAATCTCTGTGGCAATACGTAAAACATTTAAAACTATTCAAAAGTCTTCAGCAGTCAGGGATCTTGAAGGGAATCCTGTGCTGTGTTTTCTGATGAAGTCTTTGCTCGCTACATCGAACCGGAAGGCAGATTTAGAAGAACTGTAACAGTTTGCTGCCCCCTATGGCTAAGAATAATATTTATACTCAAATGTCCTGAGCATTGCTTAGGATTTAACCTATACAACAAAGTCTAATGAGAATTCATAACAATTACTGAGTTTAAGAAACAGCTCTACTAGGGTAAGCCAAAATATACCACTTTCTCTGCTGAACAAAATTAATTTACTAGTTTATGTGAATGTATGTTACTAGGCGCAGGAATTCCAGACACCAGGGACTAAAGAAAGCAGGCTTTGGGTATGCTTGGGCAGTTTGCAAGTGACCTTAGAAATAATAACACTTTATAGTTATAATTATTTTTTCCCAAAGTCTGTTGGCTGAATGTATGAGTAAATAATGTCATGACAATCATCTATTTTGCATGGAAGTTGAAGCCCCAGTTCCTTTTAAATTTTGCTGCCTTTTCCCTATGCGACGCTTTTGATATCTGTCCACTGCTCTTTGCCTTTCCCGGTCAGGGAAATAGAAGTGCCTTGGTCTTTTGCAGACAGCACTCTCATCTTTGCATCAGGGAAGCTATTAGAATAAAACATTAAGAGAAGCTTGCATCTACTGGCTTTCAACACTGGTTTCTGTCTCACCTGGAAAAAATATGCATGTATACTTGTTAGCATAAGAAAGAGCGAACAAGAACTGTTTGCAAGCTAATGTCATCTAAAGAGATTCCACTTACTGGCACATTGCTGGCAAGAAGACATCTCTTTAGCTTTAAACTTTAGTAACATATTATCTCCTCTGCTAAATTGTACCCATCTGTTGTCAAAAGAAAGACGTTATTTGGAAAAAAGATATTCACAGTGAAGAAGCTTTCAGGGTCCTTTATGTGTGTTGAAAGATGGTGTTTAGGTATTTGATAACCCTACAGGTTCCTTATTATGGGTATTCTTTTACATTATAAGCGATGCTCTTTCATCTGATAAAACATGGAAGAAAATCAACCAAACTGCAAAATAATAGGAGGAGGAAATAATAGTATGTTTTCCTTCCCTTTGTAATGCCAGGGTACATAAGTTCTAGGCTTTGTTGCCTCCTTTGATTTTACATTAGTGCTGCCTTTTGGGATTAGATTTTGATGTAAACCTATTTCAGAGTGTGGCTTATTAGGAAAATGAAGTGATTTTTGAATACTTCAATGGGTGTCAATCCTTCTCTGCTCTGATGGCCATTCAGGTCACCTGACTAGCATATGGATGTATACATTTCTTTCCTAGAGGCAATGAAGATTTTTAAACAAACACTGTGTTTTCACAATATGGAGGATTTTCTACCAAGTCTGGCCCCGCAACCTGTTTTAATTGCATGGCTGTGATGGCCGTGTACTGTGGCAAGTGAGCAGGAGCATGTTGCTGAAGACCAAAGAAACAGGGCAGCTCGCTAAGGCAGTGCTGCCAGTAGCATTGGGAAAGTGTTGCTGCTCACAGCTAAAATTAATTTTCATTTGACTCCATCCACATTGCCAGTCTATGTAGCACAGGCCTGGCTTCTCTCCTGAGCAGCCACACCATGACAACATGAGCGATGGGCATATGTTTGTCCTCTGACAGTAGTATCAGTCTTACAGTATTTTAGGACGGAGTTTAGGAAGACAGTGTCATTTAAAAGAGCACTTAGCAGAAGTGCAATGAATTATAAATTGTGTGAGATGTTTGACATGACAGAATTATTTGGCTGGACTTTTAAACCCTTTCCCAAACTCAGCTCAATAATCTGCTTCATTAAGCATGCATCTAACTTTGCAGTAGAGCGTGTTAGTTCTAGGCATGCTGGTAGCTCTGTATAATGCAGTACAACTCTGTGCAAAGATCCCAGCTTCGACCTTGAAGGCCATATGGTTGACACTCAGAGGGTGTGGTTAGAAGGTGCTGCAAAGAAGGTCTAAAGCAATTAATTTTACTTTATAATTGTATAGGCTAGAAGCTCACCGGATGAGTGGTAATTCGCTAAAATAACAATATTCAGTTGTTTGCAATCATATGAACATCACTCCAGAACTTGGGGCTGCCCTGCACCGTTATGTTAGTTAATGTTGAGCCGCATTAAGGCAACAGTGATGGTTCCTGTGTCATACAACTTGGTTAATGGTCTGGGGTGTCTTATTTTAAGGTAGCACCTTACTGTGGAAATTTAGTATTATCTCTATTAATGCACGCAACATCTGTTGTGCTAAAATCTTTGCCATGGGTATAGTGCATTTACTGCAGCTATTGCAATTGAGTCAAAATATCTGGCTGGGGCTGGAAATGCTGTTGTGATTCAGGAAATGCCTGTAATTCAGGAAATGGCTATAATCATGTGTCCTATCTATTTTCGTTCTGGCTATTTAAAATATTTTTGTTATATTTCCTTTTAGGGTGATATACTGAATACCAAATACCAGGTAGATCTTGGAGATGGCTTTAAGGCAATATATGTGAACCTTACGATGACTGGAGAACCCATCCGTCACCGCTATGAGAATCCTGGAATTTACCGTGTCTCAGTGAAGGCTGAGAATGTGGCTGGGCATGATGAGGCTGTGGTGTTCATCCAAGTGAACTGTAAATCAGCTCTTTGGTTTTCTTACTTTTGCTGCTGTGTAAAAACCTCATGACAACTATGAAGTAGTAAAGAAAATTACTAGTCACAATTAGGAAAAATGCATATTTTTTCAATAACCTCACACAGTCTTGCAGTGCTGTATGTTGTTAATGCAGAGGCTTGTAAACCTAATGTATTAGGAGGTCAGAGTTAGTTTTGTTTGGATTTGGGAGAATGATGGTGTATTAATTTTTTAAATAGCAAGCATGCCTCAGTTCAAATCTCACGTTTGATCCATTTTCCTGACTCAAGACCCCATTGGCAGTTCTAGCAGCTAAAATTTAACACATCAAGCTTTGTCTTTTTAAAAGCTTCTATGGGCTATGTGAAGCAAGTGAACAGACATGTTGAGAAACACATGAGCTCTTGTATGATTTTAAGAAAGAATCAAATTCTCAGTGTTTCTAAAAGTCAGGCTACTTACTGAAGTACTAGAATCTAGATTTTAGGTAGTTAATTCTCACAAAGTTTTAAAGTGGTGCTTGGGTATAACTTCATGTTGGCAGGCAGTGTTACTTGACTTAGACTTCTCTCTCTCTCTCTCTCTTTAATTAAGACCTAAAAAACCACATCAAATAGATTTAAAAGAAAAGAATAGAATGGTACAGGGAATATCACGCACCATCGCAAGCTTAATGTACCTCACTCATCTCATAATTGAAATGAAGAACTGGAACTGAATTTTCCTCTTCCTTCAAGATTCAAGAGAGCTATTGCTTTGCCTCTTTTCAGATGTGTCAAAAATTCAGAAACAAGTAACGTCAAAAGAATAGATACTAATCTTGCATTCTTCAGGTGTCTGTTTCCCTCTGATGTGAGTGGTGTGTCTTCCATCCTAATCCCAAAGCAATGGAAATCGCTGGGGCCACATACAAGGCTGTGCACAGATCTGTGTGCTTTATGTCAGCCTGTCTGGTGACTGCTGATATTTATGTATTTTCCTAGTCAGAGTCCTTGAGTGCAGAGTTTCCAGTTCTGCGTTGATTAGCAGATGGAGCCCAACCCATTAATGCTAATGGCCAATCTCCTATTAAAATCAAATGGAAAGGTTCAGAATCGAATTCTCTGCCTCAGTTTCATTATCTGTTTCTTTGTTGTGTTTGTTTTTTAAATCATTTTGACAATTCCAGAGAGCTCAGATAAATTACTTAGGGCTTCACCGTTACTTTTTGGGAGCTTCTAGGTGCTGAGAAGTAGATTAAGCACAGCAACAGTACAAGCAATGAACAACAAAACAACTCCATAACATCCTTCTCTCTGGGGAGAACAACTTCTTACTGTTCAGAGAATGACGAGCCGTAGCAAGCCCTGATGGAAAGCAGAAGAACTGCTTTCTCAAAATGCGCTTCTGCTGTGGCCTACATCAGGTTAAACAGTAAAAATAAAAGATACCGATTGTGTTTTGTGCGGTGGATTTACAAATTGCAGAAGCCAGAGGTATTTTTCACAAGTAAAATGACTGGTGCATTAAGAGGACTTTGGTGCTGAAGTGCAGAGGCAGCAGAGCACTGAAGCAGCCGTGGTCCGTTCCTGAGCTTGTCTGTGGACGCTGTGCACAGTGTAGAAGACTCACAGAAGCGTGTTACCCAGTCCGGTTGAAAAAATGCTTTCTGTGTGATTTGCTCTGTTTAATTTTTTAGGTAAATTACGAGATTTGAGGAAATTAGCTGGCACTAATTAAACTTCAATTTCTACATTCGAGAGGAACACTAATAGCCATTCAGGGTCGTTTGTCACTGTGGAATACCATGAAAGCAGAAAGGTCCATAGAGTCCTGCTTTCACTCTATCTCTAGCTGATGTATTCCCAGGGAAGTTTTTCAGGGACAAATGGTACAGAGAATATTTTTTACTCCTGCCAAGTTCTGTTGCTATGGGATGCTGTGTAACGCAGGACAATTCTATGAACTTTGGCCTGTCATCCAGATTATGCTTTCTGATGCAGATCACACAATCTACAACTTGTTAATGAATTGTAAGAGAAATTAGAGAAGTCTAATAGTATAAATGTGAGTAGGTAACCCAGAATAAAAAGAACTGAAGAAAGACTAGGCATACATTTTCTTTTTCATGAAACCGTAATCTCTATAGTGTGTGAAATATCAGGGAACTTTGAAAACTGTACTGAAATTGTAGCTTCGTTAAACAGAAATAGTGTAAGTCAACTTCATTTCCTAATTATACACACTGAAGGGTGCTATGAAGCTTGTTCAAATGCATTACAGAATTGTGTGACTGAGACAAGCAGAAGGACTCAAAATAACTATTTTTAGCTCTTTAATGTATAGGAATGGCAAATTTGGAATAGCAGTCTGCATTCAAGTACCAAACAATTTCACCTCTAAAAATTTTGGAAAAGTAACCTACTTTCTTCAGAAGCAAAAACGTATCTCAAAATGATCAATTTCCTCTGGGAAAATGTAAATTTATGGGAAAATCAAACCAGTGATGTAGATCCCTCCAGACTTTTTCACTTTTCCTCATCAGAAGGAGAATTTATTCCTAGGAGGACCAAATTTAACGGAATTCCTACAATTTCTGAATTTTCCTCAAGACACCAGCAACAGGAGGAGCACTGTAACTCTGTTTTTGTAAAGAAGCTATTGAAGAAACCATTTGTTTAAGCACCCAATGTGTCTTGAATTCACATATGTGGTTAAAGTGTTGTCGGAGAAAATGCAGAATGAAAGCAGAGCCTTACATTCAGATGAAGCAGCATGTGGGCTGGTTGAAGTGAGGTCGAAAAGGAGGTTGTGCACAGCTTGGACAACTTGCTCTCAGAGAAGTTCAATCAGTTTAGTCAAAGTGTATTAGAAGTGAATGCGCAATGATTCCTTTCATGAAAGAGAGTAAGAGAAAGACTGGACCGGTTTTAGTTACCTTTAAGTTTGCACTGAAATGAAACCTCGGAAACCTCTGAGGGAAAGATTTTCTTTCAATGAAGTTATTGTACTATGAAGCAAAACACAACATTAAGAAGCAGATAAAATCATTGTAATGGTGCATTTCTTTTATACAAATAGTAATGTTTACAGCCTTCGTAGGCAAAAGTTCAGAAAGGAAAAAAACTTACTTTAAGGCACATTTTGGAGTACAGAGTTTATCTATTTTGATTTGCAAATAAATGCTCCCCTGACGTACACATCTATTTTAAAGCATGCATTAATGAGAGTTTATGTGGTGTGAGCCTAACAGCTGATATTTTATAATGAAAATGAGTAATCAGCAACATTCTTTTTCAGTTTTCTGTTTTTTCCATAGCAGTTTGAGATTTGTTAGATTTCTATTCATTTGAGCTTTTATTACTTTAAAAAAAAAAAAAAGCTGAGATTGCCTTTTCCACTTTTTAACTAGGATATTTACTTATGTTTTCTAGAATTGGACATCCACCCAAAAAAAGTGCATCAGAGAGGTGCATTTTGGTCATCACATTGCTCTAGGATTTTGTTTGTGGGGTTTGGGGGGTTTTTTTTGGTTGAAATGAGGTCCTTCTAATTATGCCTGCAGCTTTCAACACAGATGTAAAAGCAGGAGGGAGGGAAAAATAAATTGAGGACCTTATGGTGTGCAGGTGAGAGGCTTTTGGGCAAAGAGGCATTAATAAATTGATGGATTCTTGTTCAATTATATTTTGGGAACTTTGTTCAGCTCCACTGCAGGCTTTAAATTTAGAAGTGGTTCCAGTTGTTGGGAGAAACCAGGAGGTGAATCTGACAGCCATCATACTGCCGAAGAACCCCAATTTGACAGTCTTCTACTGGTGGATAGGAAACACTCTTCAGGTACATGAATGGTTTTGACTGAGATTATTTTCAATCTCTTTCCAATAAAGGTTGAGTGACACCTTTTACTTTAATAGAAATACGACCATGTTGCATGACTTCTTTTAGACTATCTTTCATTCCAAATAGCCAGTTATATCTAGTGGCAAGCAGTATCTAACTTCCCTTGTTTTATCACATACATTTAAAGTGTTAATTTCCCTTTATTGCTACTTATATGGAAATGCAAATTTCTCTTCTAGAATTGGTTTAAATTTCTAAATCATTTTCTTTTGGGGGGAACGACAATTTATTCTGTTTCATTTCCTTTGGAAAAAAACCTGTGGAGGGGGATGCATTTGGGATCAGAGCATTGGTGAATGATGAAACTTGGGTTTACGCACTTCCATGTTGATAATATGAGTACTGTAAATTTAAGTGGTGTACAGAAAAAGATATCTATTCATTGTATAGATAAATATTTTCTGGGAGTCTAAAATAAACTGGCATATCAAAAATAACTGGGATATCTAAAAGGATGTCAAAACAGTGAAAGCACTCAAACAATCTAGTGATATTCATTTGGGGATAGAAAGTCTAGATAAACATATCCTAGAGCAATAAATATCCAAGTATTTCTATTGGGAATATTTCTTGTTGAACTGGGTTAATATCTTTTAAAGTAATTCTTTCAGTAACAGATAAGTAAAATATTTTCTTTATGAGGGAGACTAAGTATGACAGAGGAATGCTTCAGATAAGTGTAATGAACTTTCTTCTTGTAAATGTGCTGTCTACCATAATTCCAGCCTGTACCTTTTCATTATTATTGACTTTGCCATTGCTGGAACAGGCACTGCAGATTGATGTAGTCTTGTGAACGGTTTTGTAACTCATACAGATGTGGTAACATAGTGTCTCGTTCCACCTTGGAGGTTATGGTGGGCTGATGCACTTCCATGGGTCCATGCTCTAAGTTGACAGAATTAATCCTTTTGACCTTGGCTATACCCCACATATTTTGAGGCAAAGGGCTTGCTATGTATGATCTTACAGAGATTTGTGAGCCTGTTTATTTCAGTGGGATCTGAATGAAAACGTAATACTCTACCAATTATTCTAAAACAAATGATTGTCCCATCTGGCAGCTATTCTGTTTATAAACATTCTATGTAGTGAAAGAAGCATCCTGTATTGAAAATTGCAATTGAACAATTTGATAAAATGTTGATTAATTGAATAATTGATGTGAAACCTTTTTTGCTAATATTTTTAGTGATGGTATGTTCAGACACTGTTCTTGTGGTTCTTGCTGAAATTCTGTTTTCAGCTTCTCTTGTTTTTTTAAAGCCACTCCTTACATTGGACAATTTTCTGGTGACAAAGTTTGCTGAGACAGGTGACGTCAGAGTTACAGTGCAGGCTTCCTGTGGGAGCTCCATGCTTCAGGACTCAAAAGTTGTCCGCGTTTTTGGTGAGACATTACTCTTGTTAATTTTTTTTGTTTGTTTGTTTCATGTGTACTTGTTTCTTATACCTCTTAAACCAGCCCTGACACAACTGAACCTGTTGTAAAATTATGTCTAATACCACATTTAATTGTTAAAATTAGAGGGATGAGCTGTCACTAGGTAGCTCCGTGAAGTTGAACAGTGTGATTGTATGGAAGGGTTTAATCTGAAATGTTTTGTTTCCTTTGCTTATTTTAAATGTTACTATGGTTTCCAAAGGTTATATGTAACAATAGTGTTTAAGTAGTGTTTTGGCCTATGACTAGAGAATTTCTTAGAATTTCTAAATAAAGTAGTTTAAAAACCTCTGGAAAAAAGTGTATATACTCTCAGCATTAAAAACTGTGTGAAATAATTGCCTTTTATCACAATATATCACTGTTCCTTTGATGTTTATCTGAGAGTTTGGTTCAAGTGTAGCTCCACTGTAATTATTGAATAACCCTTCAACTCTTCTTTCACATTGTGCCCTCATGTGTTTTGCTGTGTCTTACAATGTGGTAACAAGGCATAATATACTGTGAAAAATGTAGTGCTGACGAATTATTTAAATTTGTATTTGTGCTGTCACATATGGGAATTGTGATAAGTGAAAAAGCTTCTTTTTAATGTAGAGCTAAAAGCCTTCAGATATCATGAAATACACAACATGATACATCTCTGTTGTCTGAAGAAGATTCTGTTACTTTTGCTTTTAGTATACTTATTAATTTAAAATAAAGGTTAAAACCACACTCATGCTAAATGCAGCTTTTAAGAACCTTCTCCTTTGCTAAGATAAATGGATTTAACGTTTATGCTACCACTTAGAAGTGCATCCAATTTTTTAGAAATCTTCAGAAGTATAACCCGTCTTAGTGTGACTAGATCAATGACTTCAGCTTTCAAACACTGCTTCTGCTCTTAGTGTTGGCCAGTCCTGATAGCCAAGAGCAGGAAAGTACTGGTCATGGAGGAAATAAAGAAACCTCTGGAAAAGAAAACCACATTCAAATACAATTATTTCGGAAGCATTGGGAAGGCCAGGTTTAACTCGTGCATTCTAGAGCATCTCTTTCTCTGCTTTGCATTAAGTTCCCCAGGTGCTCATCCAAGGAGCCTATATTGAGAAAGGGAAGATTTTAGAGACTGTTTACTGAGAAACAGCCCATTTCTGGTATTTCAGATATTTTGGACGACATCCAGAGAAATGTTGTGGGTGTACCTTGTTTTTATTTTTTTGAAGAGGGCAGTAGTTAGCCTTTGGTATATAATTTCTGTTCTTATTTTCATAGCTAGTTGATGGAATACATAAAGTATTCATTTTACATGAAAAACGGGAACATGTAATGGGCAAAAAACACATGTTTATGATTCAGTGAGAATAAAATCCATTGGCGCATTCCCATTACAAATAAAAGAAACTAACCATGTCTGTGTGGTGTATTGTCCTAAGGAAAAATTATTGGGAAGGTTATGACCCCAGAGCACATATGTAAATCTTCTTTGTTTATTTTTTTTCTTCCTGCTTTTTTATCTTTAGGCACAAATTTGATGATGTTGATGAAAATATAGAAAGAAATTGAGTGTCTGACAGGAGTGTACTCTTGCTCCGTGCAAGAGTACACAGCACAGAGCAGTGGGGTTCCTAGATACCGCAGTGCTGCACAGCAAATAATGCCAAATATGTATTTTCAGCTTTTATTTCTGCAAAATTGTTTTTACAACCTGGTTTGTTACTTGTTGAAAAATGTTTATTTTTGTTTTTCTAGATCATTTTCATGTCCTTCCTCTGAAGTTTACTAAGCACCTGGACATGTACAACCCCGACATACCAGAGTGGAGGCAAGACATAGGGCGGGTAGTAACACGACTTCTTGCAAAGGTGCTCTTTCAGATCGCTCGTAAAATGTTCCCTCGCCAGTCGTAAAGCTTGAAGGTTAAGTTAATGCCTTCTCATTTAGAAAAAAGGAGGCAGAGCAAAATAATAAAGTGAACCTCATGAGCCACATTTCAAACAGGTTTGAGCCTAGTGTCACTTTTACGTGCAGGCTGTAGACGATGATATTGTAACATAGAAAGTTTAGGGCTAACGCAGCCTAATTGGCAATTAATGCTAAATATTGCTGTCTGGGATTAGGGATAGACGTATTGGCAAGTACTGCTGACTCCAAAACAGGAAGAGTAGCTTAAATGTGATATATTTAGAAGTTAAGCAAAGGATGCTGTGTAATATAAAAGACATAGGCTTTGTGTAAAAACAAAGTGGAAAGAAAAAATTTACAATGTCAGTTGTGTAACTTCAAGAAGTATATATGATATATAGGCAAACAGTTCGTACAGCTGGTTTTTTAGATCATATTAGCGAAAGAAATGTGGATTGGGAGCAGTTGAATCCTGTAGGTTAAATCAAGTACAAAGCCATGCAGCAGTTCCCTGAGATAAGTAAAAGCACCCCATAAAAACTGTGAGCTCTAGAGCTGTGCTCTTCAGGTACGCACACTGCCAGCAGCCGAGTGTGCACACACTGACTTTTTGTGAGGACAATAGCACTGAGGTGTAGGTTGAGAATGTTTTGAAAATGTTTGTGTCTGAAATCACTTGACTTTTCCTGGATTTACAGTAGTGCAAATCAGGTTCTGGAATTTTGACTTTATACTTTTTCGTGCCTTTTTTTTAAGGTTCACATCAAATGTTAAAGTAAATTCCCACTTTTCTCAACTTAAACCCATTCCATAACCAGTGTCAGTCAGACAAATGTTTTAATCCCTTATAAAATTTCCCTTGCATTTTAGTAATTACTAAATCATTTGCAAAAGAATATGAACAATTTAATGGAATTTTGGAATCTGTTTGGGAAAGGAAGGCTGCAGGAAGTGTCCAGGGTGTTGTCATTAGAATTGTGTGGCTGTATTATACAACACAGGGAGGAATCTGGGACTAAAAGGAAAATTTGCATGAACTATTTTGAAAAGGAATGCACTTTCAGTGGGGGCTGCAGGTATTCATAACAATTTCAGGAACTGAACCTAGGTGCTCTTCGTCTCACCATGGAAGACTTCTCTCTGTCCATTAAGCACAGATGGGAAAGTAGCCTCCCTAAGCTAAAGTTAGCTGTAATGAATATGCCCTTCTAAGTCTACTAAGTGTCTGAATGGCCCACAAAGGATCCTAAATCACTTAGGAATTTTTTTATGTTACCCTAGAAGTGCACAGCCATTGCAGAGTTTTGCTAAAACTGCATACTTCATTTTGCTTCTTTCCATGATGCCACTAAATCTCTTTTACGTGATAACAAAGCTTAGCTCTTCCAATCTTCAAACATATTTCAGTTAATTTATGTTTGGCTTTGTTCATGTTTTAGCTTCTGGTGGAATCCTCTCCAAATATTAAGGATCTGAACACCAAAGACTAAAAGACACATGTAGAGTTACGTATGTAAAATATAAAGCATGCTGTTCTATAATTTGCCATATGCCTTTGTCTTCACAGGACACCAATATACCCGAAGAAACACTCATGACAGTCGTGAAACCTGGTCTGCCCACAACAGCTGACTTGCATGTGCTACTACCAGCAAACCAACCAAAAAGGAAGAGAAGTGTAACTAGTGATAAGGTAACCAGAGCAATGTATGTCTTATTATGACAGTCTTCATCCTGTTCTGCAATCAGTGGCTGTACTCTCATTGTCTTTACGTGAAATTAAAAAGTGCCCCCTAACTATGTAAAGATCTCACTCCCCTCTGACAAGAGACATGTAAAAGCCAGCAACAGCTATGACTGCTGTGTTTGACAGTGTATGAACCAGCATAATCTAGTGCTTACTGGTACTGGTGTATTTCTCAAGAATAACTAATACTGATCTGTTTTTTAAACAGAAACAACAATGACGGCATGTTAGTCTGTGAAGATCCAGTAGAACAAAGAGTGTATTTAGAACACTGATATTTCTGTCTCTGCACTGTCTTCAGAAGCAAATTAGATTTCAGGTCAAACAGAAACAGAACCTTAATAATTGACTTATAATGTAAAAGGCATCAAGTAGGTAGTTTCTGCCTTTATGAGCAAATGTCCTTTTCAATTGGCAAGAAACAAATATAGTGAACAATGTAAATCAGGCATTAGTTTCTCCCTACTTACTTCCAAGCCATATTTCTTCCATAATAAAAGACCTTATGCCAGTTGAAAATCAGAGGACTGGCACAATTTATGATATTCGACCTTTTGCTGAGATAGAGAAGGAACAAATCCCAACACTGTGCCCATATCTTGCAGTTCAAGTCCTGCCAGCTACAAAGAATCCCAATGTAAGGTATCATTAATTCTAAAGGGCATTTTACAACTTTCTGAGACAAGGTCACAGTATCCAAAGAGCTGGAGAAGTAGGTAAGATGAAGCTCTTCATGTTAACACAAAGCCAGTAGATTGTGTTTGGAATTGATGTGGTACACTTTGGAATGTCCAAAGGAGTATGTTGATGTTGTCCAAGTATTTGAGCAGGTGTCTTACGTTAAAATGCACAGAGTACAGTGTCAATGCACAAAATTTTCTGCATTGTGGCAACCCCAAACCCTTACTGCTGTCCCTGTGTAATCACAGTGGAAATTCCTGGGAGTCTGAAATCCTGATTATGTTGCAGGAAACGGTTAATTTTAGTAGGTTGTTTCTGTAGTAGAGAGCCATTCATGAACTATGGCTTTCAGCCAGGTGAGTATTACCGCTTCAAAATTATTTGCAACTTTCCACTTCTTGAAGAAGCAAGGTGCAGCTTCTAAAGGAAGTTCTTTCTCTATATTCCAAGCATATATGGAATGGACGTCTTTAATAATTTAAGGCAACTGATGGTGATAGATTCTTTGGTTGTGCAAACATTTTACTTTGGTGCAAAGTGTTATGCATATTAGTTCCCTTTAAATCTCAACTGCTACATTAGTGCTGTGCTTCGAGGCAGCTTAAAGAATATCATCGATTATAATCAATGCTGTCTCAAGGTTTTTATCATGTTTGTATATGAAATACTTTGTGAGTTACTCCAAAGCATAAAGAAGAAAAATCACATGTTGCAAATGATTTGGGAAAACTTCTGTTCAGTGGGGCTATGGGGAAATTACAGTAGTTTAGCAGGGCACAGTTTCTGTAATAAGTAGTCCTCCAGTAAGACCTTGCAAAGGTTTTTGGAAACTAGAGGAGCACTGAAAGGTGAAAGTAATTGTATACTCTGGAGAATAGATATATATTTCTGACATTGTTAGGATGGACCAGGTCAGACCAGTGGTCGCTGGGGATTATATGTGTGGAAATACCAAATATGGTACAACTTGCGTTTGGTTGGAGCAGGAATAATGGAGACAGGAGCAATCACAGCGACCTATGCTGTCCAATGATAAAAAATCAGGTATGCTAGTATCACATTTCAACGCTGATTGCTTTATAGAGTACAATACTGTAGAGCCAGTCTTCTAGTGCCAGCTGCCTAAATTTCTAATTTCATGTTATTCCTGAGACACTACTTTAGCTATTGATATGTCCTTATAAATTTGTTGATTTAGAATTAAATGGCACAAATTTTGATAAAATATGTGTTGTATCAGGATCCATTCTAACTTGAGAAATATCCTGAAAATATACCCTATGTAAATAAACTTAGAAGCAGTAACTGCTTAAGTCAACTGGAAAATACTCATGGTATCGCTTGTTTAAAGATTTGTTGCATTCTCTTCTGTTACCAGAAGAGAATCTTGAAGGTCTTCATCATGTTTCACTGGAAGGATGTGCTTTATCATGCTGCTAAGTGCTAGTCCTCAAAGTCAGTGTTGTGACACTATTGCAAGGACTCACCAACACAGAAAGTTTTCTGCACATTTGGAGGAGATGTCCCTGAAATCCTTAACTTAGACACGGTTATGAAATGTCTTCACTTAAAGAGACCCTATTTGTTCTTGGATGAAAACCTTTTAGATTTGGGATATTATGTGACTTCAGAAGGATCATTAAAGGCAATAATTTCTTGGTCAGCAAGAGAATACCTACTATGTGGAGTTTCTATTGGTATTTTACGTGAAGTGTGATGTGATGCTATTTATTAAGTTAGTGATCTAGAATAGAGTCATTACTGGTAAAAGTAGCCAGCAATAACAAAGATGATAAGTTGGCAGTGTAGTAGTAAGAGGCCTTTGGATAATTCTGAAGTTTGGTTCCATTCTGACAAAAACCCTTTTTCTTTCAAATTTATGCATGCAGAAATAAAAGCTGAGTGTGATTTAACCTGGTTTTAAGAACACAGCAATTTCAAAAGTATTTCATTCTAATCATTGACTCCAGAGGAAATCTTGGTCGCTTAATTTATGCACATCTGTTACATATCTAATGTCAGGTGGGATGAGTCCAGTTGAAAGAGTCAATTAAAGTTCATTTAAACTATAGCCTGGAAAGCAGTGGCTCTGAGGAAGATTTAGGGCCCTATCTAGACAAAATAATACATGAAAATTGCCAGTGAGTTGCTTTGGCAAGAAGGGCAAGTCAGACCCCCAGCTGCTGGTGAAGGGTCTGGAGCACAGGCCTTATGAGGAGCGGCTGAGGGAACTGGGGTTGTTTAGTCTGGAGAAGAGGAGGCTGAGGGGAGACCTTATTGCTCTCTACAACTACCTGAAAGGAGGCTGTAGTGAGGTGGGTGTTGGTCTCTTCTCCCAAGTAGCTAGCAATAGGACAAGAGGAAATGGGCTCAAGCTGCACCAGGGGAGGTTTAGATTGGATATTAGGAAAAATTTCTTCACGGAAAGGGTAGTCAAGCATTGGAACAGGCTGCCCAGAGAGGTGGTGGAGTCCCCATCCCTGGAAGCGTTCAAAAAACGGGTAGATGTGGCACTTTGGGACATGGTTTAGTCTAGTCTACCCTTGATTGGTTTGGTGTGGACTTGGTAGTGTAGGTTAATGGTTGGACTGGATGATCTTAAAGGTCTTTTCCAACCTAAACGATTCTATGATTCTATGCATAAGTAAGTGGGTAAGAGTTTGAAAAGTGTCGTTATTTTTACATTCTTATACCACAGTGCAGGAACCATTGTGTTCACATGTTCAAATATTATCATTGGAAAAGATGTATTAAAAGAAGATAGAAAATTCAAATGCTGGTATAAGAACCTTAACTTAGAGAGTCTAGAGAGAAGCTCCAAACACTGCCTTTGTTTTTTAAACAGTTGGAGAGGTGGCAGCACTCTGCTCAATAAATACCTTGGGGCAGAAGAAAAACCCCTTGAGTACTGAAACAACCATCAATCTAACAGTGAAAGAAATAAGCCAGAATCTTTGGCTGGATTCACATCAGATTCAAATTTTTGACCTGTGGAAGTGTAGTTCGTATAGGCTTGGCTGGGAAGTCAGGGGTGGGGAGAGAAATAGCAAACAAGTATTAGTCACTTAAGCAACAACCAGAGCAAATGTTGAATTCTTCAAACACCTGCCAGGAAAATATGATGTATCCAAAGTTGTGGGGCTCAGTAATTTCATTTACTAGCTGAAAGTCAGATTGGCCTAAAGTAGTGGTCCCTCTTGTATACCATGAACACGTGAATGAACCTGGACTGAGACTAAGTAAATCTATTTCAGGGGTGCCAACATCACTTTTAAAGGCTGCCAAGCAATATAGTTATCATATCCATTCTCTCTTCAGACTTTGGGCAAAAAGATAAATACTTAGGAGCTATCTGGAGTAGTTGTCCTGTAAAATAACTGAGGCCATGCTCACATCACCCTTATGTTGAGTCATTCCCCTCCCCCCAAAAAAGTAATAAAGTCAGTGGAATGGCTTCAGAAGTTAGATATTTCTCAATATGAGTGAGGATATTTGAATTTGAACTTTTGCGTAGTCTCTGTCCATAACATGAGAAAGGCTACAGGGATTTCTATTTATTATACTGCAAAGGCTTGTCAAAGATGAACACTGTAATTGATAATATCATAAAAGGAGTTGCTCGTGAAGGTTTCATGGATTTAAAGCATATTTCTAATTTGGCATCCTGTGGGAAGTCATGTCCTAAATTACAAGGCATGGAGTATAAAACTAGCTTTGATCTTTTAGAAAATTACCCGTGCTGAAGACACAAGCAAGTAGAAGGGAAAATTTAGACAATTTGTCATCTGGGGTTAGGATATGATGGTATATTTAATGGTTCTGCTCCATAAAAATGTGAGAGACCATATTTTACTATGCTCTATGCACTGGGGAAAAATAGGAGGAATCCTGATTTTTTCCACATGGATGGATTTATATATTTCTACAGAGTATTGTTAAAAATTAGGTATAAATGGAACCCATCCCATTATAGGTAAGGAGGTGAGGTAAATTATGACATGCAGTTCATTATCAAAAAGCAGTTACTTTTCAAAGCAAGAAATCTAAAGTGATATCACAGGTTTTGTTCTGAAAGGTTAGAAAAATTGAGAGTTTTTAATATGGATTATGCATTGTGTGAGTTATGACCCAGGTAAACCCAATAGCGTGTGCAAATGACATGCTGTCTGTCACATATTGGTTAAAGGGTTTGGTAAGCAGAAAGAAAGATTTGGCTATAAAATTTTGACATTTTCAGCTTTTACGGCTTGTGGAGTTTTGCATGATTTTTAAACCTGGAATTTCTTTAAGATTTCAGCTCATCGTTGACAAATGCTTTCTGAGTTTCTCACCATTTAATGAACCAGAGGTTTTCCTTTTTAGACCATTGAGTGTCTCAAAGTGGAACAGAGTGCGAGACGTCTGACATTCTCTCTGTTGTATTTTCAGAGAATAGCGGCTATAAAGCAGGCCTTGAATGCACACAACATCAGTTTCTTTCTGAGGGGAGGATACTGGGTCTTAGTGACTTTAGCTGACTCCGGTTCAGGTAAATATATAAACAAAGCTCCTAACAAACCAACCTTTGGATGCTTGTCTGAGTTCTGATAAGTTAAGGAGAAAAATCTTCATATCTATGTATATGTACATATACACACATGCATATGTGCTTATTTGGTACTTGTTACATATAGATACACGTATATGTGTGTATATGTGTATGTAAATATATATATACATACACACACACAAGTATATATGGATGTGTTTTCATTTGGTACTTGTTTACAATCACCACGAAATAAATATTTCTTACCTATTTCCATTTTATCATACCTCATGATTTGTATCAGAAGTTTCTTGCTTTTTTCTATGTAACCGTGACATTAACTAAATACCTATATTATACTAAACAGTGCCCTGAAGGAAGTGCCAACCAGGCTTCAAAAAAACCATCTGGTGAAGCACTTTGGCTGCACTGGCTGCAGAGAAAGCAGAGCTGCTTTACTTCAGCCAGATATAACTGCAGGGGTCTGGGACATGGCCTTGCATCTCTGCCTTGTGTCTCTGATGGTCAAATCAACTGACGTGAAGCTTGCTGTAGGGTTTCCACATTTCTCATCCTGTCCTGGGATAAATTACATGCTTTTTTTCTGTTTTTAAAACAAATGAGAACAGGTTTTCTGCATGCATTTCCTGCATCTCTGGATTCACTCTGTACCTGGAAACTGGTTGAAGAGAGTATGTGTGCATACATGCGTGTGTGTTTTGAATGGAGATTATTAAAATGATGTTTTAAGCAGAAAGTTCAGTTTTGACACAAACCTTGTATTAGAATGTCCTGTATTTTTTATTTGTGTATCATATCCCATAATTTATCCTTCTTTCTTATTTCAATGTGCTGTGGGAGAACAGCTTAGCTGACCGCAATCAGTTTATGTAAATACTGGTGTGATATTTTATCTGTCAGCTCTCTGTAGAAGACAAAGCTCTTTTATCTAGTCTCTACTGCAGAGCCGTGCTACAGTCTCACTGTGGTACCGCATCTGGTTTAAAGGGCTAACATGCGTTAGCCAGCACAAAAGGCTGGGATTGAAAGAAGCCCATGTTCATTCCAGCCTTTACTAATGTATGACTTTGATGAGTTAATTTTTTTGTTCAGAGCCTTAGTGTCTCCATCTGTGAAATTAATACAGCCCTGCTTTTGCAACGCATGTACTTAGGGTATGTGATCATTTCCTATGATAACTTTAGATTCCCAGAAAAAAAACACACTGAGTATGCAAATAATTAAATCTTCAGCGTTTTGGTTTTTGGTTGGGCTTTTGTTGTTGCTGTTGTTGATCCTCTGTCCTTCAGTCACAAGTCGTCAATTAATTTTGATTTGCTGCCTTTTTGAAGAGGCTACAGATGGAGTGAAAAGAGGAGGTTACACAAATAACAACAAATGTTTTTCACCTGGCAATTAGACAGAAAAGAAAGCCCAAGAATGACTGATCTGAAAGAGGATGTGCTAAGCTGTTCTTTTATTTCATATTTCAGACTCTCGGAGAATTGGAGGAGGCAGTGGCTACTGGGCTATTGTGGTTCTCTTTGTTATCTGTCTAGTTGCAGTTGGGGCTTTCATCCTCTACAAGTTCAAAAGGCAAGTAAACCTTAATCAACAACATATACATTTTAAGAATTAGGCTTATCCACAGATCAGCAAAGCTGAGTTTGTTACTTGAAAAGGAGATTGAAGAATTGCAAAAAGTCCACCACTTTGAAAACTGTGTTTTTCTGAACTTTTCAGACATCAAGGTACTGCACTGATGCTTGCTTTCACTTGCTGTGCTCCACAATAAATAGCAGTAATATGGGAACTGTGGAGAGTTTGTGCAGCTTGTCTAATTAATATCCTCAAGGAACAGAGCTTACCTAAATATTATTCCTGATTAATTCCTACCTCATTACTCCTAACAGTTATGAATAAACTGAAGCTATTGGGACAAAGAGTGCATCTGCAATGCTGATTTGCTTAAAAAAGTAGTTTTATCAAAACGCGTAGTGCTCTAGAGTTTTTCTTTGCACACATTACGTTTTAATTGCTGGGGCAATGCCACGTAGAATGACTGATGGAAATAGATTAGCGTTAATTTGACACTAGAGTGTGTTGAGGGGAGAAATAATTCTGGAAGTGGCCTTTATGCGAGACATATTCTAAAAATTGACAAGGGATGTCATGCCAGCCTTTGGCAGTCTAATATATCTTTAGTCCGCAATTGATTTTAATCAGAGCTACTAGGGTTCTCTGCAGTTTAAAGAATTTTGTTCTTTTTCATGAGTCTGTGTTATCATTGGCTGTGCTCTTGGTATTTTGTATCTCTGGGGCATTTAGAAGCTATTTGGGTTCGAGCATACTGGAAACAAGCCTTCATCATCATAAAATCCTCATGTCTTTACTCAGTGAGGATTCCTGTTGATTTGTCTCATTTTTTTAAAGATTGATTTTTATTTGAAATAAATATAAGGTGATACAAATGGGTGTGGCAACGAGTTTGTGATAGCAATAGGCGTAGATAGCATTTAAGTAAGAGTTTGTTTAGATAAAGAGTTTTTAAGTCAATAGAGAAAACCCCTTTTTTCCAAGAATCTCTTCATTTTCTCACTGCAGCACCTAAGTTTCTCAGAGCTCGTAGTGGCTGATTGCTCTAAAGGACAAAGCACAGAATGCTGTATCAAACTGTCTTCAACTGAATAAAAATCCATTTTGCTAGTTTAGGTGCCTGCAGCAAGGAAAAGCATAAAAATGGTTGATGTGATGTAATTACATTATTTCAGTAGCAATACATGGAGCGTTTGCTGTTTGTAGTGTGGGATCATAAAACTTGCTTGTGATACCTTTCGAAAGCTGTATGATTTATGTCTTTTATTAGCTCTTAAATGAGAGCAATTAAATAACAGACACAATTACTGCATGGCAAAAGAAGTATAAAATATTAAAGAAAGGAAGAAAAAAATTATTTTCCTTGAGTTCTTTCTAAAATGCCCAAAGAATCATTGCTTTATAAATAGAGTTTTTATTAAGGAGGAAACTATAGTACAATTTGCAAATTGCAAGCTTTAATGTCTCTCACGCTTCTGTATATAATTTGTGAAAATCATTTGCATTTAAATTTTGTGGGAGTTTAATTTAGGTGTGAGTGGGGACAATTGTGAGATATATTCAAATGTTTCTCAGTAGCCTGAAAACTGCTGTTGGCATTGATGAATGACCATGCAGTAGTATTCAATTTTAGTCCATATCATATCTGTTTCTGAGATATTTGACAGAATTATTTTTAAATATTCCTGCTAAGGTTTGCCAGGATGACAGGTTTTTTTGGTTGCATCCTTCATTTGCAATTTGATTTTCAAAGAATATTGAGCGCCTAATCGGTGCTACGTTTGAAAAATCATTTTTTCCCCCATGTGGTCCCTGTGAACTCCTCTCCCACCCAAATCTTTAAGCCCTTTATAAACACAGGAAAGACTTTTTTTAAGACAGATGGTGAATTGCTGGATCCCCATGGAGTACTTACTTGTGAGTATAGTCCCTTTAAAGTCAGTACAGTTAGTATGTAAGTGTACAAACTGTTCCATAGGGACTAAGGCTATGAATCTGAGCGTCCTTTACAGATATAAAGGTTGCAGGTTGTAATACACAAAGGCAGCTTGTCAATATTATATGCCTGTATATTAAAAATTAATTTGCTGAAAGAATGCTGTAGGCAACAAAAGTTGTTCAATTTTAGGAGATGATTTCAGCAAAATAACACTTACTGGGCCATATGGTAACTCAGACAACACATGCAAATATAAATATGAATTATTTCCACATAGAAATTACAGACATGTATAAGGTGTTGAAATGTTAATACTGTCCATAATTTTTATGTATGATTCATAAAATCAAGGTGGAGATGGAGGACATTTAGTGGTGCTTTCCTTTCATTTATGTAAGATGATAGTCAGATACTCCCTTCAGAAAAGGGTTAAAACTCCTTTTTTCCCCAAGTCAGATAAATGTTTATTAATCTTAATTTTACCACTACGCTAACTGGGTCTACAGGAGTTACATTTGGCATTGAGACACCGGCAAAGCAGGTGGTCTGCAAAAGATTGCATGGACATGCCTTGGACAATTCTCTCTCTCTCTCTGCTGCCAGTTCTTTGCTTAAGGTTGATACCTGGAAAGACTGGCTTGCAGATAAGATGGTGACTGGATTGCCAGGGAGGTTACAGCTTCATACATGAGAGCATTTTATCCATTTGCAATGAGCAGAGGCACTGCTCAGGACTTGTGATGAAAAGTAAAGAGAAAACGGTGGACTTCTGCATAGACCATAGTACAGCTTCAATAGAAAATGGAGAAACCTGCCCGAACTGCCCAGCTTATTTCTGAAGTTCATGTCATAAGAACTTGGGTCTTATTTTACACTAATTTTTGTCAGGCAGAATTGTGAGATGAAAGATGGTGTTGACAAGACATGAGGGACTAATCTAATATCTCTTCTTTAATGAATCTTTTAGGGCAATCACGACAGCTATGATGAAACTTGCTGCTCCTGTTTAATTTCTAATTTTTTGAAAACTGCAATACCCAGCGCTAAAAGTTGGTGTCCCTCGCAAGAAGTAAATCTCACAAAATTAGTTTGGAGGAGAGCAGTAACCTAAAAATAACAATCCTGCATAAGATTCTGTGTCAGATGCGTCATGTACAGAAAATGAAGAGAGTATTTTATCTAATTTAGTAGGGGGGTAGGGGAAAAAAAGAGGCAGATTCATATAGAGGTAGTGGGATTTTGGCTGATTAGTTATATGCATAGTAAAAACCAGCACTGTCTCATCACTCTTGAAGGAATGCCCATTAAAAAGAAAAGATTAAAATGATACAATTTCCCACTACTCTAATCAAAACTAAAATTGTAGGGTCTGCTGTATAATCAGAGCTGTCACGACTGTCTAGCTAATGATTAGGGGACTGTAGGTTGCATGGGTTCTGATATGCCCTAATCCCAAACACTTGAACACTGACTAGGAAGACTGCTGCCCTCCGTTCTTATATGCAGTAAAATTGCAAGCATTTATCATTTCATCTCCCTGCCCCCGCCACTTCATCTAATGGCCTGTTTGTGCATCCAGCCACTTCTCACCAGGAACATGCGCTCAAAAAACTGGTGCTGAAGTCCGCAGAGCTCACTGAGCAACTCCTGGCCATCCCAAGAGTGGTTAGCTGCTTTAGACAAAAAAAGAAAAAGCCAGAAAGTCTTGGCTTTTGATCCTTTGTGATCAGAGTAGGTAAGCAATTCAGATTAGGGCTATTTTTACCCAGTAAATGAAAAGTAAATTTTAAATATAAATGCTGGTGGTTTTAAAAACTAATTCCAGTCATATCCCACAAATGAACAGAGATTGGTTTAGATATTTTTGCAGGGGAAGTTTCAGCATGGCAGCGAGGAGCGAGAGCTAAGACCCCAGCTGCCAAATCTGACTGTGGCTGTGGCGCGAGAAGCAATACAGACAACGAACATGGATGGCGGGCGTAATTTGCCTTTTCTTTGGTCTTACTTTCTGGGTATGGAAATCACCCATCCGATGCCTCAAGCAAACAATATGTTACAATACTCACTAGTATGCTTCAGTTGTTTAAGCATCCAGGTAAAATGGACTACAGCTGCTCCTTTTGACCACAACAATATGAAGCAGCTGGAAAATATTTTTGAGAAATCAGGTCTACTTTTTAATGCAGATCTGGGACCTGCATATATTTTTTTCTGTACCATAGCATCTTTACTAAATTTGGTTCAGTAAAAAAACACTTCTTCCATTCCCTTTGAAACAATGTTTATATTTTTTGTGGGTTTCAAGTTGCCATCCAGAAAAGATTTCTTCATCTTTTCAGAGCAAGCTTCTATGGTGTGGGATCCTGGACAACAGTATAGAGAAGGCAAATAGCACTGTCTGCTCTAGGCAAAGTGGAGAAAAGGAAAATATTTTAGCCACATCAAAGCTGCATGTAATCATCATGTTACTAATGAAAGATCTGAAATCAACCTTTTCTTATTTTTTACTTCTCTATTACAAGATACTAGAATAGTCAAACCAGAGCAGATAGTTGGATTTTCTGCTTAGCTATTTTACCTGGTTAATAGTAACAAATTTGATTCTCTAAAAGAGTATGAAAATCTTCATCTTTTAATTTATATGCAAACTACCACCAGTGTACTTAAGGCAGCATACATTACTTTCACAAATCGCCGTGAATATACTTCAGCCAAATTTATACCATTTTGTGTGTATTCCTTTTTTCCCCACTACTATCAAGTGCCACTTTTGGTAAATGAACCCCCTCCTGGGTCATTTCCACAATCTGGAGCAGAACTGTGTTATCTTTCTGCCTCATTGACTTACTATCTCATTTTCAGTCTCTGAAGAAAAGCCATCTTTTTTCCCCACCTTGCTTATACTACTTTTATGTTCCATGAGAGCAAGTTTAGTCCCAATCCATGCCGTTTAGTTATAAAAAAACAGGCACTAATTTAACGATCCATAATATTTCATAAAAACTTCCTCAGAAATCAAAGTAATAGGATGTAGAAAAGATTTCTGAAATGAAAGAGGCAAGTAAATCAGGAGTACCTTAAAGCACAAAGAAGTCAGTCATCCGAACATTAATCCAAACATAATAAAGCCAACACCACAGTATTCTATTTAATAGATTATTATTGTTAGTTTTATTTAAGTTCCAAGAGAATGCTACATTATTCCATATCCTTTGCCATGTGAATATGTTCCTATTTTTTATACTAAACAGAATCTTAATCAAGCCTCTGGAAAATGAATGAAGTTGCATAAAGGCCAATGAATATTGGCTCCACAACGAAGCAATTGAAAGCCAAATAAACTAGAGAGTTTAAATGACTGGGAATCAATATCTCATCCCCCTCCTGCTGTTCCTTAGTGCAGAACATTTTTAAGTGCAAACAGTTTTGGATATGAACAGATAGAATTTGTGAATACAGGGAGGAAAAAAAATACTTTCTGGAATATCTTCTAAAAGGTGTGGGACCTGGAGAGCTTGGTGAAAGCCATGTGCTGTGATGTTCATTAGTAGTTCTGTGCAGAATTAAGTCTCCAGTTCATATTATTATGGTCCTCAAAGCAGGCACGAATATTTCTTCATGACTGAAATAAAATCCTACAGAGGAAACAAAAGGAACTAAAAATTTAAACCATGGAGTGCTGCTCAGCAGAGGTAATTGTCTCCAGTGATGGATGTGAAGCACATGCATTTTGCAGCTGAAGAGTAAAACCCCAAAAGAAACTATTGCATAATCTTTTTCTCTGTTCTTATAAATGTGCTTTCAATTTTCATATTTTTGATATAAATCTCTTGGGTCAAATTTCATGTCTTGTCATGTTTTCACAGTAGTCTTTTATGTAGACGCAAGCATTTCAGCTCTGCCTACTTCAAACACTTACATTGGACTCAACATAAATTGCTTCCTTACAAAGAGCAAAGCACATGAGGGTACACAAGATTTTCTCTCTGTACAATTAGGGATAGCAGCTTTCTTCCTACATCTTAAAGCAGCGAGTGGTGACTGGAAAATTGCCAGAATCAGGCCCATCTTTAGCAAGGATTCAGTATCCACATCCTGTTTCATCCTGCAGTGCGGTTGTCCCTTATGAACAGAACATCTGGCACATGTGTTAAAAATGCCTCTTGAAAAGTCTTGGACTATCATTTTCTTCAATCTGATTGAATCTCTTCCTTGTAAAACTCAACCAATATGAAACACGTAGAGATCTCTATAATGTATAAAGGGTCAAATGCCTACAGTGTATGCCTTCACCAGACCTGTAATATTCTCCTTCCTTCCATTCATACTTGGTGTTACAATCTAAGATGCTTTCCTCTGTAAGTGTGAGAAGCAAAGGAAAGTACAGAAGAGTCACTGAGTACCTCAACTTTATACCTTCCATGAAGGATCTGTACATAGCAGGATTGGGCTCATGAGGTTTAGGTGAGTGAGAAATAACAGCTTGCTGCTTTTATCCATAACCCATAAAGAAGTGCTCTTAACAACAATACGTTTAATGGTTATTTGTGAACTTGTGAGGCTTCTTCATTCAGGAACCCCTTAATAAGTTTAATAGTATGTGTTGTGATTGTGGTGATCTCTAACTAGTAAGTCTTACTAGAGATGTGTGTTGAAGCCTCAGGATTTACACCAAAAGACACACCTTGACCAGGTGTGTCTTCAGACAGGTCCTTCAGCCTGGGCAGACAACAGATAGACTAGCAGCTCTGCTCCCTTTACTTAACTGCAAAGGTCTGATGTGCCATATGGGTTTGAGATGGATAACATTTTTATTATGTCAAAAATATTTTGATAATGCCATTGATGCTTCTACAATCTGTCAGAAATACAGTTTTGAGAAGGTCACCTAATTATTGCAGAAACATATGTGCTAATTTTGCAGATGTGTTACAAAGACATTCTTCTGGGTTTTGTTTCCCATACGCATTTGGCAGTGGACTGAAAGTGAGCAATTTGACAGGTTTGATGCAGGTCTGATTGAGAGGGATATTGTTTTCCACATGACCAGTTTCATTAGCAGACACATTAAAAACAGTCTGCAGTTACTGGCCCTAGAGAAAAAAATCAAAATTAATTACCTAATGTATTTGTTTTGGTAATGAGGAATGTCCTTCTCCCTTTCAACATGGCTTTGTTTGTCCAATTAAAGGGAGGAGAGTGAAGCAGGGCTTAGCTTTTTGTGTATGTATGTGTTGGAGGAGCCATCGGACCCGTTGAAGTGGTCATAATAGCAGTGTTGTGCTATCAGATCTTCTTTCCATCCATGTCCATTGCATTTGGTTAGTGCTTTATTTACTCCATGCTCACCGAGATACAGAAAAGAGCAAGAGGAATCAGATTTCTTTCTTTGTGCTGCTTATAAATAATGGGATAAAATACCTGATTTCTGTATATGTATAATTGTGTCTGTGCGTGTGTATAGGCATACCTATACAGATGTGTGTGTGTGTACATATATAGGTATATAGGATGCAATTCATCTCTTGGATAGTCCAAACTAAAGGGAGGAGATCCTCTTCAGTCATCTTTAACAATTTCTATTTGTTCTACTTACTTTGATACAATGGAAGGTGCTGTTCAAAATAGTTTACTTTTATCCCAAACTAACATGGTGCTACCTGGTAAAGAACTTTTCTTCTGAAATGACATGTAAAGACAGGCCATCTTCAAAAGCCTAGAGAAAACAGAGCAACCTGTGCCTTTATCCAGCTTTCAAACTGCTGCCAGAATATGGAGCAGAAGATGGTCGTTTTTAGAGATGCCTAAAAATTAGTGTCACTTTTTCTATTTTCTCACTAAAGGAGCTCAGCAGAAACTGCAACTTAACCTCAGCAGTTCAACCCCTTTTTCTCTTTTCTTCTTGTTGTCTGCCCATTGCAGTAATCTCTGTTTAAGCACAGACTTTGACAGCCATGATCTGCTGGCATGCTGATCAAGCTGTCAAGCTGCTTCTTGCAGTGTAGGAAGCGGAGCTCACAACCTGCAACTCCCTAACCAGAAATGTCTGCTTGGAGCCTAGGAAAGGATGTCCTTATATGCCCAGGCAGATTGCAGGTGAATACAGCTACAGCAAAGGGTATGGCTCTTGAGAAATGTTTAAACCATAAATGCTGCTGCAAAGTTACAAGTCCCTGATTATTCCCTTTGATTTTACAAAGCCTAATTTAAGTTAATCTAGTTAAGAACTCTTTATCAGTACTAAGTCTTAAGCCTCCCAGTCTCAGCCATGGTGCTAATTGTTCATTAGAGCTGATAAAGTAATTTAATAACATGCTCTTTGTTTTTCTAGATTCAAATCAGAATGAATGAATTAAATGCTGTCTGCCATAGAGAGTTTTGTCTAATTCAGCAGTTCCCAGTAGTCCCAGGCCAAGCTTTACACTCTGTCTCCTTCAGTGCTGCCTGCTTAGCTTCACCAATCTCCCCTGTTGTCTTATTTGCCCTTATTGATGCCTGTTTACCTCCTTACCCCTGGGCCTGGCCTCCTGGTTCTTCACTCTCTGCTCCCTTTCCGTTCCCTGTCTCCTGGGTTTCTCCTGCTTCTTCCTCCTCAACCCTGAAGGAGTGTGAGAGTGCTTCAGTGCTTTGATGCTTCAGTGTCAGCCCACCTCACCAGGGAGATGTGATGATGATTGTGACCCAGCTTAATGTTTGTGAAAACACCTGGAACTAGGAATGAATGCCTGTTGGGCCTTTTTATTGCTTAAGTTCTTAAAATAGTTTTTCTGTCTTTTCAGTAATTTTTTTTCAGTATTGTTCATTGTCTGTCAATCTTAGTCAGAAATTGATGCTTAATTATTACGTTGGTATGAACATCGTGATAAGGCAGTTACATAAAACTGTGACTGAGAATAAGGAGTTGGTAAGTTTAGGTTGTGAACACAAAATTAAGGAAGGGTGGGATTGGTGATGTTTTGTGATTCTGGAACGACTTTGCTCTGCTGAAGCTCTGCTCTGATGCCAGCGACACAAAGGAACTCCTTCACAAGACTTTTTCTCCTTGTCCGATTTAGGAAACTGCCAGGCAGAAATGTCTACGCCCAGATGCACAACGAAAAAGAGCAGGAGATGACAAGCCCTGTTAATCATAGCGAGGACACCCAGAACATCATCCAGGGTGAGGAGTTTATTGATGATGATCTGGACTCTCAAACACTAGGTAACGCAAGAGGTAACTTCATTTTTAGTTTATAAATTTTCATAAGTAATTGATTTTTAATTTATGTTTGTTTTCATTTTTGCTTTTTTCATATTCCGCTCAGTCTCAGGAAGAAGCAAATAGTACACCACTGACAAAGGATTATCTCAGTTATCTTCTTTTGGCTTCCTTGTGATACAGGCTGATGTATGGATGACATGCTATGTAGAGCATGAGTACGGAGATAGTTTAATGTCAGGAGACTTACTTGGACAATTTTAGAGAGAAATTACATTTGGTGGAACAGGATATAATAAGTAACAGTTGAATTAACTCAGTAATCCCCTGCATTAGTGGAAAATGGAGTTTAGGCTAGAAGGATTTGTAGAATCAGTGTTTCCATGATTTCAGATAGATTGTATCTAGATCCATTGCTATATTTGCCATCATATTGCAGTGGCATTTAAAGTTTTCATGATTAGAAACATTAAATTTATTCCTGTATAAAAAGTATTATAAGTCTTCCCTAATTTAGCTGGTAACTTTCTAGTATTCATGGGGTGGTCATAAGGAACCCATGAGGGAAACTTTCTGTGAATTTCTCTCAGTGCAAATGATTTCAGCGTCAGGTGGAAGTGTATATCCTGGCACCCTGTGGTTATTTTTAATAACACGTGGAGTGCTGATCTGTGAAGTTCATTTCTTGTAAAATTTACCATTGTGTTCAGACTGCTTTCAGGTCACAGTCTGAAAAGCGGAGGACAATGGAAAAAGCTCCCCAGTTCCATTTCTACACATTTTGTGAAAATAAATCAGATAAGGCAAAGCCTTTGGAATTTGTAGCAGTAGATTCATGGTGTAACAGGCAACTATAATGTCTTCAGGAACCCAAGGAAGATGATGTGTTTTAACTGCACCAGAGGTAGCCTGGGGAAGGACAGAACTTTGGCAGAGGAGAGATTTCTTTATCTTGGGTTTCACCTTTATCGTTTGTTGTCGATGTCTTTATTTTCTTTTGCTGAACTGTGCCCCGCTTCTAGGTTCTTGGAGGTGTTAGCGTTGAGTACAAGGGAAGAATCCAGCCTCCTGCTTTGCTTTGTGTATTTCTATCTTTTCTTTGACAACCTTTGTCTATGAGTGTCACTGTGTTTTCATTCAGATTTTGCAAGACGACCTTGATTGCACTCCTGACTTTACCAGAGTTTGTTCCAAAAACAACCCTGGAAAAACAAAGTCTATGTTAAAATTGTTTAATCAACTCATCTCCGGGGTCTTTAGAGGAGAAGGCTGAATGCTAACCAAGTCCTTGCAGACATGCCTCTTAAAGCAGAGCACTCGAACACCTCTAGTAATGTACAAAAGCATAACTTCTTTTAATGGTAGAAAATCCCTTATGGCCTATTTATATAAGGCAGCTTGGGATGCTGGAATAAAGAAATGCTACCCTGATTTGTAACGCACTCAGAAATAATCTCTACTTGCACTGTACTCCTTACTCAGAGGGGAAAAAAACCCCCAACTTCTACCTGGGCAGAACATTATTAGGGTTAAAGAGTGCAGGCTCATGATGTTTTGATGGAAACTTAAGACAGTTAGCAAATGCAGATCTTGAAGTGATTTGTGATTCTGCCAGGTTGTCAACACCAGCAGCATTCCCAGTGGAGCATAAAGAGTTCATTTCTGTAGATCATAATCATCCATATTGGTCAGCTACTGTACAGCTTTTAGAAAAAAGGCTTTATCTAAGACATAAAACTATACTTCTGCTCGCTGTACTGTTTTGTTACTTGCAATACTGCCCACTAGCTCCAGTATTGCTCAGTACTGCCAAGAAAATATTCCTGTTAATGATACTCCTCTATTTTATCTGGCTAGAGTATGAAACGTTATAATCCCTGCTTTATATTAAATTCTGGTTTACAACATTATTTGCAGAAGGTTCCTATGGCTATGGAGATCCCTTCTAGTTCTGGTGAGCTTTCCCTCTCCCTGTTGGGAGATGTCAGTAGCAGCCTCCACTCCATGCACTGCAGGGAGTTACAGGCCTGGCTTTCTGTTTGTTCTCTCTCTTCTCGTAACTTTTGAATTTCCGCAGTACAGTATTTCCAGACTCACCCATCCACTTTTTTTGTTTTCTATATATTTTATGTTGCCTACTTTATCGCAACCCCCACCTTGGGACTCCTCAACACCATTACCTTGCAGTGACTCCTTCTGGGAGAAGTGGCAACTTGAACAGCTACAGAGTTCCCCTATTGCTGATGCCGGTCAGTGTCCAGTCCCAGGTCAGTGGCATGTCGAATGGACGCCTCAGGTTCCATTCTCCTCCCTCACCTGCACCCCTCGAGACAACTACACCTTTTTAAGCCACAAAGAGAACCAACTTATGCTGTCACTCAGATAGAAACCCTAGGAATTCACCACAAATCCACCACCATCAGCAAAAGCTTTGCGCAAAAGTATGCTGTAGGTACATGGAGCTGTTGCACCAACTTTCACCTGACCTGTTGTTTGATAAAGCCACTCTCTTTATGCGATTGACTTGTCCCTGCAATAAAAGGGGGATTTATTGTGAAGTGCCTGAAATACACTAATGCTGGCCTTTTGTTTCTATATTTTTGTAGGCAATCACTCAGGCGTGGTTTTGAGCATCAACTCCAGAGAGATGCACAGTTACCTGGTTAGCTGATATTTACAGCTGAACACAAAAACCGAAAGACTCTTCTCTGTATCGTTTTATTTTTCCCTGGTGATGTCACAAAATTGCAAATATGGCCGTAAATGCTGGTGGAGAGGAGGTTTCTTATCAGTCCCATGGAAAAAAGCGTCTATCATCAGTTACCGAGGGAGAAGGATGATACGTCTTGTGTTCGCCCTATGGCCTGGGAACTCGTTACAATTGAAACTCAAACTATGGTAGCAAATTTGTAGCCCTAGGCACCTTCAATGCCACCTTATTTCTTTTCTGTATATGCTCTAGTTCTTTATGTTTATTTTTAGAAGGATTGACTGTAACTTTTTAATTATATTTTTAATTGAGGTATTCAGCGGCAGGCTGGGACTCTTCAGCCCAAAAAGGTGATTTTTACACAAGCGACTAGACCAGAACAGATGGTTGGTTGATCACGATGACATTTTTTTAGGAGGCCAAGTGTTTCTGCACTGGGAGAGGACTGAGCGAGGAGACAAATGCACTCCTAGTCGATACAAACTCTTAACTTAAACATGTGTGAGACAATCTAATGAATTTAGGCTTAGGCCCTTCTGCGGATTAAAGGAAGTAAAGTGTTAATGAAGATATCTCATAATATAGGATAATGCTCTTGTAATTGTAGCAAGTCCTGACAAACCATCAGCACCAGTATCTCCCCCAACCCCACCATGCGTGAAAGAAAAATACCAGCTTGATGCTATTTCCAGACCAGGTGCCTTCACTTGCAGACAGTCATTTCAGTTGCTCTCTTCTTGTCTCCTGAGCAAGCACCTCTAGGACGATGGCAGCTGCCAGATGAGTTATCCTGTAAAACCCCATGCTGGTGGCCTGTCTCTTTTTAAATTTCCAGAATGTAAATACCTCTTTTAAGTCACTTTCTTTGTATGGTTGTTTTTTTTTAAAATTTCCTATTAGGGCAGAGGTGCCAGGTAGGTCAGAGCTCTCCTCTGGGCAGGACTGGGTAGTGCACCGCCATCCCCTTCCCACCCGCATCCTTCTTTGGGATTTTCCCTGGCCGTTGGACCTTGCAGGCAGGGGTGGGCAAAATCTTACCTGACCTTTTCTGCTCGGGTTGGTTTGGCCATCCTGAGGGCCAGGGGGAGGATGGGCTGTGATTCAGGGGTTCGTATTTCCTCTCCGTCACCACAGGGTGTCACTCGGTCCCTACCACTGCTGGCCCCCATTTCTGCAGGGAGGACGGTGGGGCTTGCGAAGGAGCTGCCTGCAGAAAAGCTTGTGAGTCAGGTCAGAGTTTCCTAATCCCAGTTTTGTGAGTTAGGTTAGAGTTTCCTAGTCCTGACCTCTGCACCCCTAGGGAACGGCATCGTGGTGTATCCACACCCCACTGGTCTTTTCCCTGTGGTTTATGGAGCTGTGTAGGAAACAGACTGTGGTGTGATGAGTTTAAACATCTGGCATCCTATGTGTCACAGCTGCCTGGGATTAGGACGCTTCTCTCAGAAACCTATATAATCTCTTCACTTTTTGCCTTCAATAGAGAATAAATAACTCTTTACTCACTGAATGTCATACTGATGCTAGTGGCAAACTCACACATCACCTTGCTTAAGGAGGATACAGATAGCTAACTACATCTTTCTGGATAAACAAAGAGAAAATAATGAATGCTGGTAAGACAGAAAAGAACTGTCTTAAAATTATCATATGCATTGGAGTCATTCTTCCATGTAGCTGTGGATATCCTAGAGCATATTGTCATCAAATGCAACGGACTGGGATGTAGCAATTCAGTGTAGTACTGTAGGCTCGCACAAACCCCACAGGATGTACGTGTAAAGCACAAGAAAATCTAGATTATAAGTATACTGTAAGGAACTAGGTGGAAAAATTAAAGTGAAGATTCTGAAAAACGCTTGCAAACTGCTCAGGAAAATAATTTCAAAAATTGTTCTAAAATTTCTGCCTATTTAGTTGTAGAGTGCCATGCAAAGTGATTTACTGAGAAGCACTGCTCTAGCTGACTGTTGTATGCCAGACTGTGCAGAAATCCATAGTGTCATATATATCTGAGTCTGGGTTTCTTGAAGAGAAGTGCAAATACAAAATGTGCTGTGCATTGGAAACTCTCAGGATTGCTGCACCAGAGGCTTTCCCTCCTCTTTTTATGCTTTTTGTAGTGGAAGTGAGCTGGAGCAGAGAAGAAAACAGTATTGCAAACAGCTTACTTATTCCTATGAAATACATCTGAAGTGGGTTATTCCTATAGGGCAGGTGAGTGGCAGATTAGCCTCATGGACAAGGGATGGGATGGAAGTTCTAGCTTGGGGTTGTTCTCCCACGGTTTGTCTGATTGGCAAAGGGCACTGTTGGAACTAGGTTACACATCTCATTTATGCTGTAACAGCTACTTTTATATGTTTAATACAGGGTGATTGGTGTCTCTGGTAACAGGAGTCTTTTGGAACCCTGTAGAATATTTAACCGCTCGGTACTCTAATTAACACTTAGCACAATATAGTGCCTGTAATGATGTTTTTCGATGCTTATTAATTTGATTCATGCAGCACTCCTGTGAGGTTGGTTTGTCATGTCTTAGAAACACTGTTTTCTAAAGAGATATCAGTATTGCCATAACTGTATTAACAATACCCAGCAGATAATAAAGGAAGCTTTTGATTCCCTGGCAAGAATAACTTTAAAATTAATTATTTTAAAACTGAGAAAATACCATTACCATTTTCCCATTCATGGTGTCTTGGTTTATCTTTAAATGAAAAGTCTCACTAGTGCTAGGTTTCGAATCTCTTGAACTATGTCTGTGACATCTTAGCATTTTATCCCTTTATATATATCTAAAATCCTGATACGTGTGTATACAGAAACAGAGTTGTTTCTATGCACAAATGCTAGTCACACATGCATGCACACACACATGCAGTATATGTATGTATTCCAGTTAAATTTGCTAGAGAGGAAGGGTGATTTGATGGCTAAGAAACAGAAGACAGCTGTCAGGTACCTGGATTTTGTACCCAGACTTTGAGCAAGCTACTTAACCTGTATGTGCCTCAGTTTCCCCACCTGTAAAATGGGGCTGATAGTAATTACCTACCTCACAGGGGTATTGTGAGGCTAAATTAATTACTGTTTGTTCAGGATCTTCACAGTGAAAGAATTTTGTGAGCATAAATTATTAATAGTTTCGCTTTCTTTGTTTTACTTGTAATTATTGCTGTTATCAAAGATAGTCTACTGAAACCAGCTGCAATTATGTATAAATGTAAAAAATACATAATCTGAAAAAGGTACATCACTCTTTAAAAAAAAAAAAGTTAATTTTATTTAAAAACTGTTACTGGAACATATTGTTACATGGTAGCATTGCAACATTGGCTGTGCTTTTGCTGTTACACACTAGTATCTTAAACTTACTTTTCTGCAGTGTTATTTGGTCAAAAGCCTTATAATAATGGGTACAGTGATACTTATCAACATGGATATTGAACTATACTGAAACCAACAAAACTGGAAGTGTATTGGCCTCACTCACATCTTTTGGCGTTCTTAAACTCTGATGTATTTGCAATTTCAAAAACACCCTGTACTTTTCAGAGTGCTCCAAGCACTACTGGTTTGAAGCATTCTGACAGAGCCATCAAGATTTACAGCTGTTATCTTTGCTTTCCCTTTTGACATTGAATGTTTTATATGGCTTGGGAGTGGTCCATCCATATAAAGTGCTCAGAAATGCTCAGAAAACATTTAGGGAAAATCCACACAATAGTGTAAATTAATTTATCAAAAATAAAAGCAATATAAACCAATGTATGTTTTTATACCCTGTAGAAGAGGGTGATGGAAATGGCTGTGAAGAAATAGAAGGTACCAGCCTGAGGCAAGATGTTGTTGTTATCTCCAATTCACATCCAAATTCTTTGAGCTCTTTTAGGATATTCTCATTGAACTATATTCTTCTTGATGAATTTTCTGCTTTCAATGACCAGTGTAAAGAGGAGTAAAGTGTTTATTCCTATAAAGTAGATGAATTGTTAAATTACTGTCCTCTGGACAGCCAGAGACAAATCAGTGCTTTGCCATTAGTAGTTCCTAGTGCAAAGCAGATTTCATCTGACATGATTTGGATGGTTCGCTGTGTTCTAGGTCCAATGAGACATCCCTTTAGTGGGAATACTCTACTGCTGTATGCTGTCTCTTCAATAGAGGTCAGTAGAATGGAACTGCAGTGGTTTCCATCCTCCTTATACAAATACGTGCTCAAAGAAATGTGGTGGGGTTTAATTATTTTTAAGAAATTAAATACATGCATTTTTTACAGTAACTTTTTGATGAGGAACCAGTGGTTCTGATAAGCTTTGAATGTCTAGTGTTATTTCAAGCCAAATACAATATTGCTAAGTTGATAGAATTGATGACAATTTCAGTCGTAGATTTTTCCTGTGTTTCCTGTAAAACAGTGTTTTGTAATTTTTCATTAATGAGACTTTGGGGGGAAAAGAGAGACTAAGATTTTTATTTCAGTGAACAATCCCTGACAGTTGGAGTTGTTATTGTATATTGATTGATACCACTGTATTGTTTCCATCTTCATTTTTAATTCAGAGTTTTAGATGAAAGTAAGTGCACATTTCTCTCAAAATATTGGCTTTCCAACAGGAAGAAATTTATAAGCATTTACCTTTATAAATATTGATTTTTGAGATGCAAAATTTTGTTGTGTCTTCTAAGTCCATCCATAAATCTATTTCCTGGCTCATTTTCTCTGTTCTAGTCCCAATTACATATTGCTTCTACGACTTTCTTTACGAGACTGGCATATAGCCTAATCTTACTAGTCTGAGAAAGTCTTTCTAAAACTTCCATTAGAATAGCATTTAATTGCATAGAAGTAGTTACAGGATCTGCTCAGACCCTTTTCCTAATGTTAAGTCTACATTTTAATGTTCCTTATTTCCT